GGTACTACCACCTGGTCTATACAGCATTCTAAGACCGAAATAGCAGTTGAGAAATTGCAAGATATTTGTGGATCTGTACTTTCTACAGAGGATTTAGTAAAGACATTTCAGTTGATGGAAAATGAGGTTAAAGCATCAATTTTTATTACAATACATAATGGTAATGCACTAGATATGTGGCTTGCTAATAGTTTAAATCAAATGTAATTTATGAAATTTTATATTAAAAAAAGTACTTGATTCAATTAATATAATTAATGTAGTTGACCTATATTCTTTAAGCTAAACTATCACGAAATTCCTTCATTTCTGCATCATCCTTTATTGTATCTTCTTCATGGTAAATCCTATCTTCCTTACTAATCTCTCTCCTATCCTGCCTTTTTTTGAAATGTTTAATGCTATGATCTTACTGCTCAACTAAATCTCCCTACTATTTACTCTCTTTTCTTCCATTCTGACTCATGATAAAATTATGGAAAGCACTAAGTGCTAACAGTAATTTTACCTGCGTACTATATAGGTACTTGTTCAATGAATATAAGATTAAAAATCTTTTTTTTTTAAAACTCCAAGAAATCTTTAGATACAATTTTATGCTTGTGCATAACATAGGTTAAATAGTTTTTTATTTTATAGTCTTGTAACTCTTAAATAGTTTATATTTTAAATAAATTAGCAATTATTTATTATATAAAATGATGTACATAAAGAAAAGAAAATTAAATTGACTGACTATAACTTTGTACTAGTTTGTTCACATAAATGGTATCTAATGCCTCAATAAGGTGTTAAGAATCTCTTTTTCAAAGTATAACCTGCATCAATAAGGAAGTATTTTCCCTCTGGAACTTGTAGTCCATTTTGAATAGCCTACTGAAGTACTCATCCATTGTGGGTTAATGCTTTCTATCCTGAAACTATATTTGAAAAATAATGTCAGAATGTACAAAACCCAAGAACATTTTGAGTAATTGTATCTTTGTAGTTTCAAAAGCAGACAACATCTTCTGCGGAAATCTTCGCTGAAATATGTGTTCCATCTGCAGTACTGATAGTATCTTTAAAATATGGATATAGGATTCTTGGCTTTTCTAGTATTTCTGGAGCAATAATATTTGGATTTGACAGCTAGACATTCTCTTTTAATAGTTTAATCAAACTATCAAGAACTTGATCGAAGTATCTGGTGCAATTTTATTTTAGTTTTTATTATTACTTAATTTATATATATATCTAGATATATATTAAATACATAATATTGTACTGGTGTACTTACTTTGTTACTGTAAAACCACTTATTTGAAATCTTTCTTGTACCTCACAATTGGTACAATTATGACCCACAATAGCGAGAAAAAGTGCTTCCTGCTCCCCAACAGTAACCTTCCTCCCCACTTCCAATTACCCAGACTGCCTCATCCAGTCGCATAGCTCACCGAAGGTTGCTTTCAGCATTCAATGTACCTCCAGAATACATTACTCTTTTGAAGTATGAAGTTCATCAATGTAAGTATCCCCACTTAATTGACTTGTATGATAAGCTCTCTTATCAAAATAAAGACAACTATAGGCTCCAACAATAAGTCCTAGTTGACATAACTAGACTCTAGACAATAGATAAAGAGATGGGTTTTAGGAAGACATTGGAGGTGTTTAGGTATGGAGATTGTACAGGTATGGTATGTGGAGTTCAATGGACATAATGGATGGATTAGGACTCAGCGATATTGTAGGAGTGATGTTGTAGGTTTGGAAAATACTGGTCAGACTAGTATTTCAGAAACCTTCATTTTGACATCATTATTACATCCTCATTATTGAGCTCTGGTGTCAACCAGACATGTCACTCCAAAAATAAAATAGAGGTTTGGTGTGGCAACCAGACACGCCCTTAGATTATTTGATACAAAGTGTCTGGCTTCAACTCGGCCACAGGAGCACTCGAGGACCGGTACTGTACTCTAGTAAGGCTCTCAATTAGAACCCCCGCATAGACTACCATACCGGTACGAGTACGGTACTCCAGTAGAACACGAGCCGACTGCATGATTGAAATTTATTGGAGGTGAACCAAGATAGATTCCCATTAGCCAATAATAAAGTATTCAACCCACAACCAAACACAAGGATGTGCTGGTCAACATTCGGCCTGGCCGTATCGTGACTCTGGCAGAAGCTCCTTGACCCCCGGGAAAACAGATTCGACAACGACCAGCCAACCCTTTAATAGCTTGTGTTAATTTTTCCAGGGGGGGTGCCCGTAGACTCTAATTCGTTCGGTTGATGCTTGCGGTGTGGCTTGCTCTGATCAGGGATGTTGTCTCCCTCCATCCGCTACTCGTAAACATCGGTACCCTCGATCCCCGGCACCTCGTTACAGTACGAGTAGTCTAGCTGCACAGAAGCCCACCTAGATATGTCAACAAAACACTTGATAAGAATTCCCGAGTAGATTTCCCATTGCACAGACGCAAATCTTGAGCATGAATCCACATATAAGTTTTAAACCCCTCACAATACAGAAGCTAGGAGCTAATGTGTTTGACCGAATCGCCCAACATTACGAGAGCAAAATACCGCACATGAAGTAGGAATATTCGCCACAACCTTATTCTGTGTGTGGCATTACCGTACTCAGAAGAAGTCCTTTAGCTCAATATTGTACTCCAATAGATAGGACATATGGACGCCACAGATTGCAGTTATCGTCTTGGTGGCACAGGATTCTGAGACCCTGCCAAGGTCAAGGTGGTTGAAGATGTTCTGCGAAGTCTCTGACCGGCATTAGAAAGCGTTAACAGTGGATATAGGAGGATTGTTATCAAGAGCACTTACAAACTTTGGCACAACCTATGCCAGTCTGTACCACACGGAGGAGCGGAGGAGCCTGTAAGGGGGCAATATCGAACCTAACAACCCGAAAATAACTTCCAAAGACCACCATTCATTGTTCTGAGAGTATGATATCGAGAACTCCATTAGAATTAAGCCACACGTGATTGCGTTCCAAAACAAATTCACACTAGACCATTCTCAAACTCCCCCATCCCAAGACGACCCCCGGTTCACCAACATACTACTCGAGTATGGGATATAAGTAACTTAGTGACATCACTCTAGGTAGAAAACCAACCTTCATAAAATCAACGCCCCCCGTTTAGAGCATACAAACACCAGTATGCAAAGCACAATAAAAGTCGGTGAGGGGAACGAGAAAATCGCGGCATATCTGAAAACACTTTCGCATACGTTATTTTGGCAATCCAGGCGACATTGCCTTGTGGTTTCAACGCAATATGGATTTGGAGATCTATGCTTCCCATAATGGTTAGACCAGTACTGTATATGAAAGCCCTGCAGAACTTTTGATTATATAAAGCAAGCCCAGAGGATAATACCATACCCCAATACAAAAAGTCTGGTGTCTACCGACAGTCACCAGAGAAGAATCCCAAGGGAAAAGCGGTTGAAGCCTATCAGGACAAAAAATGAGAAGCCGGCTCAGGGCACCAGGGCTGGTACATGTGTCGGAAATAGCGGATCGGTTGCGACATCAACTGTTCCAATTGGGGCAGAGCTTAAAGTCATAGCTCCATCTTAGTTTGCCAGAACCAAACGCGGAAAAATGGTGGAAGAGACAAAGAGTGGATACAATCCATTAGTTGAGGGTATCTACCATCCCAAGCTGAAGTGTACGAGAAGAATCCAAATGACACAACGGGGCGTAAGCTATCGGAGAGCTTTATGGAAGGAGGGAACATCAAGAGATGAAGTGCCTGTATTAACTTGCATAGAGATCTTTGGCATGGTATACGTAAGAAAGTAGGACTGCCAATCCCGCAAGCTCAACTCAATACCAACTCTACCTCTACCCTCGAAGAGCCCAAGCAAAGGCATATCATTATTAGACCACGGATCTCGGATTGTAAGCATATATCGCCATATACCCACGACCTTAACTATCAGGTTCCTACATGCATCTGTTTAACCCCCTAGAAGTTAGAAGAATATTAGTGCCACCCACCGACCAGCGCAAGCACCCTGGCAAGGAAGGATATGGCATCCTCTTTTTATATTCACTGCGAACTTGCCATATCACATCAAACCATCTGTTGCCCATTGTGAGGTTTCAGTAAACTTAGGTCAATGATATTTTATCAACCTACACATACCTTTCCGGAGACCACACAGCAGTGTGCCGTATCCCACAGCCCGCCAGGTTGCCGCGCCCAAGAGATCCCGTTGAGAAAATAACGGGATCAGGAAAGTATCCCTCCCTAAATAGAAATGAATTACTAAGGTTTTAAACTGGGTCCTGCTCCGCTGCCATAGATGAAAAAAATGTACTATCGTAGAGCACTTCTGGCAAATTAGGTTCTCGACTCTCTTTCTTCCATGAAAAGATTGATACCAGATACCGGGCGTCCCTCCGTGTTCGGTGTGGTCGGCGATACCCGCCCGCAATGCCGGATCCGTCCCATCGGGGATTTGACATCATGATATTGTTCCATTAGTATGGTTCGTGCAATCCAAAACGTGCACCATTCAACAACTCGTCAATTGATTATATCTCACTATCAATATCTGTAATTACCTCAAAAAAAACCACTACGTTCTTCTCTTTAGTATTCCCAATAGCCTAGTGGTTTTTTTGAAGCGATATTTTATCTTAGTGGAGGGGTATAATCATTTAAAAATGCTAATTGCTGGTGTATCATACTTTTTGGGCTGCACGAACCATATTCTGTTACGGTGAGCCTTTTGCTATCATACCAATTTTCCAACATCTCTGCCCAGGCTTACGAGTGACAATGGGTGAGCTGCATTTGCACAGCACCCGCAGTGCAGGACTGCACCGGCATCAGCACTGAATAATTGTGGATCCAGGATCACTCGAGTAGAGAGACATTGCGATAATATCCATCTTGTATTACCTCAACGCGCTATTTACGTCGTTTCTGGCCCGGTATTAACCTGTAGATTGCGGGGACTATAGATTGTAAAATGGGAGAAACACCCTCCTCAAAGCAATTATGTATCGAAGTCGAAAACACTGAAGCATGAAAGAATAAAACTAAGCTTAATTCACCCCAAAAGTGATAAAACAGGTGCAAATCTTGTACAAAACACCCGTTGGCTATAAAAACAGGAGGTTAAAAAAACAAATCCTAGCCCAAAAAGCCACTCAAATAACTAATCATAACCAAACCCATCTCCATATTTCTCCGCAGCACGATTGCTGTCAGCCTCCGACCCTCCCCGTAGTAACCCTTCCAACACTTCATTCTCCTTTCGAAGCCTATCCACCCTCTCCCGTGCAGCCCAAACCTGCATCTTGAGTGCCGCCCTCTTCTCCTGCCGCGGCTTCGAGGCCGCCTCGGGGTGAGGATGCGGTGGGGTCTCCGCAAGCGCTACTCTTCCACTGTCCCTCCCCTCTAGAGACCCCATGGGCCGTGCTTTGCCTGGTCTCTTCCTGCGTCTGCGAAGTATCATCTTTAGCAGATCCTCCTCCACCCCTTCCTCCGTCTCCTCCTCCGGCGCTCCCGCCGAAGGGCCCGCCGCGACAACACCCTTACCGGGCGGCTTCGGGAATAAATTCCGGAGGGCCTTCGCAGCATCGCACTCGCATCCAGCCGGCGCGCCAGTAGGGAGCAACATCGACTCCGCTCGATTATTCCAAACCATCTGAATGAGCGCATTGATAACGAGATCCTTCTGACTTTCCCCTGCATTCTCCCCCTCCTCCTCCTCATCCGTCTGCGTCACCGCTTCTATCATCCGCGGAACGAGCCGCTCCCGCATTTGAAACCTCGCGACGGTCCGGTCAAGTGCGTGTTTCTCCTTCGTTACGCGCGCAAGGTCGACATCGATGCTGCGACATCGCGCATCTAGTTCGCAGACCCGGCTTTTCCACCAGGCCGCCGAGCGCTTTTCTTCGTCAAGTTGGGATTGGAGCGCCGCGATTGTGGATTCTAAGTGGCGGTGCGACTCCAAGAGTGATTGGTACGAGGGTATTGGTTTACCGGATGATTGCGGTGGAGAGGAAGCTAGTGAGAGGGCGGAGAGGTACTGAGTTGGTGAGGTTGTCATTGCGGCGGCCACGGAAGATGTGGGGGGAGATTGAACGATGGAGGATCGTTCGGGATTTGGTGTTGTCTTTGTTCAGAGTGTTGGCTCTGCCAAGACGTCATAGAGTGGCACCGCACCCGCACCCGCACCCGGACAATCGCTTGCTGTCGCCCGACAAAGATTTTTCCCCATAGCGCATGTGTGAGGATCAAGACTTCTCGGAAGAACCGCTGTGCAAGGAGTAATGAAAGGATCTTTAGGGAGAGCGTCCCTCGAGAACTGGATGGAGACAGCCGTCAGTCGTAGGCTCGTAGCACCATAGGGGCCTGAAGATACCTCGTTGAGCCTCATCCCAGTTTTGATGAATGCACGAGTGCAGCTTCTGTTTGTTGTTATCGTAGATTCCGTAACGTAGAAACAGTTGTGCATTTCGCCCCACCATCAACCTTGGAAAAGGCGAAGAGAAAGCAATAGGAGACTCAATAATGTCAAATTTTATGCGAAGAATCCCGTCTAGAACCCCAGTCATGGCTTTAGCATTAAACTTACTCCAAACCCGGCAACACCTCTTGGACCTAACATCGGATACAGCAACTCGAGCTCCACAATCTAAACTCATTTCTATCGCTTGATTCCAACACTACTATATCTATTTGCGGCTAATACAAACAAACACTGATCCTCACCTCTCTACCCCCCAAGTCCCACTCCACCCCCACTAAGAGGAGTTTCGCTTTCCTCTTCCTCTACCGCTTCACCCCCAAAATTCTTCACAACGCCTCCCAATATATCACCAGCACCGAAATCAACCCTAAGCCTCCTCCCTTTACTTCCCTCCGAGAAAAACAAACCCTCCCCTCTGACCCCTCCCAAACTCACGATCCCAACACCCTTCCCAGCATCATGCGAAGCCTTAACGAGCCTATAAGCAGAATACGTAGCCAAACTGGTCCCAACGACAAGTATGCCCCCACATTTATCTACCATTTCTTCCGCTTTAGTCTTGGCCTCCAGTAATATAGATTCCCCAAAGAACGTCACAGAGGGTTTCAACACTCCATTCGTAGCCGACCCCCCGTTAGGCCTGTGTGATCCTTGTTCGTCAACTAGGACCTTGATATCATTCGAATTGAGACACTTTGGGCAAGGTGGGTAGCGGAATTTCGTATATGGTGCCCCGAGGATGTCCACGTCACCGTCGGGGTTCGTCTTTATGCTTTGCCCCCGGCGATGACCATTGCCGAACATTCCAGCTTCTGTAGCAATGTGTAGAAATTCCGCCCATTTGGGGTTTAACTCTGCGAGGGTTTTCTGAAATTCAACGCGCGGGTATGGGGAGCGGCAGGTTAGACAGATGAGTGTTTGGAGAGTGCCATGTAGTTCCGTAGTTCGCAAGTGGGGGTGACAGGTGTGGTGGAGGGAATCAACGTCTAACTTACGGCTCTTCCATCAGAACGACACCGGGACAAGAATCGCACGAGTGGACAGAATGAGGACTTTGAGTGATTACGTGATTCAGCACCCCCAGCTTTCCTAGTATCGAAATCGACCTGTGCACTCTATTCGGCTGGGCTTTTTCCATTGTCGGCCACCCGAGGAAACTTCGCGTCCAGTATCTGTTCATACACGGCTCAATCCGTAAGCTATGTTCAGGGTGGCTCTGGGGAAGTGAGCGGGTGGGGGCAATCGAATATATTTCCGCACCGTTTCCGGGCTTCATGATTCCCCGCAAATTCCTCATAGAATATTGGCCGGTAAGTCCGGTTCAGTCTGTAGGTTCCCTTCTCGCCACGGTAGTCTGCCAGGCCGCTCTCGACAGAAATACCAGCGCCCGTAAGGATGACGACGTCGCGCGACTCCAGAAAGTTGGTCACTGCATCGATTGCTGCGGAGAGTGTCGTGGCGTTTTTGGGGTGAATTGGGGGCGGTGGGAATGGCAGGACGTATGGAATTCGAGGGGTTACCATGGGAGAAAGGGATATATTTCACTATTGCGAGTCTCATGGGAGACCTTATTGGTGATAGGAGAGGCGTTGAGTCATTACAAGGTGAAGTCGACCTATTTGGCACAGGAACTACAGTATGATCCAAAGTCATATCATGCCGGGTAAGTTCAAACAGAGCCTCACGGCTTAGCATGGCAATCAATCGATATCGCCCAACATCACTCCATAGGTCACGACGGGCATTCTAGACACTGTCATGTTTTTATTGCGAAGGTGCTGTACTCGTGCACAAATACCCTGGCCGGAATAAATTGACCATTACCCGGAGTCACGGTCAGGCTCCGGCGACAATTCGGGGCGCCCACCCGTGCCATCCCAGACCCCCATATCCAAACCACCCTGTCCATCCCGTCCATCAGCCCCAGTAGTAGCCGGCCCACCATGAGAACGCACGGGAACCTCTACAATTCTAATCTCCTCATCCAAGTGAAAGATTCGCCCCAGCCCGGTCCCCAGAATTGTACAGCAATGACCAGGAGAAACAGATAAAACACATGACAGTGATTTGAATCCAGAAGCATATACCGACGCCGATTTGGGCGACCCAGTCAGGGGCATAGAGCTGACTTGTAAACACCATTGTAGCGCGGAGGAAGCCAAGGATAGCGCCAGAGGCGGTGGCGTGGGACGGAAAGTAATATAGGATACAGGCTGTTTGAAGAACGCAAGTATCGGGCCCCCCCCTCAGAGTTGGGTGAACTGGTATCGTACGAAGTACGAGTGCAACAAAGTTACGAGTAATTTATAGTTGCGACAGATGTAGACTATGTGAGGGCTCAGCGAGGTGCGGCAAAGCTCCGCAATTTAGAACTGGTTGGTTAGAACTGGTTAGTGAAGAGAGTCAGATCATTGTACGAGTATCATAGTAAAAGTGTGGGAACCCTTCCTCGGGTAACCCGCCCAAATACATTTCCTCTCCATATTGCCACTTTCTTTCCATACTAAAAACATGTCAGCCAAGGACGGTGAAGCCCCCATGCAACTGCAAAAATAGATGACTATCGAAATGGCCACTACTGGTACAGTACCCAGTCTAACAACTGCAGCCCAAATAGTAGGAGCAGTACCAACAACGGATACATCTTCTATCTACAAGGAAGGAAGAAACGAAAAGAGGAAGCCCACTAGGTAAAAGCTAACAGAGCAGGAGGAACCAGCAGTTATGGAGTGCCGTTACTAGTATGATACTTCCAATACCAAATAAGATTTCCACAGATGACCGCAGGGTGGCTCCGGTATGACAGGTTGCTGAAGGGTTGATCAGTGCACCCGGCAGAGCTCTGGAGATCCACTTCTTGGTCACATAACCTCCCCCCGGTTTTCAGATACTTATTGCCGGTGCTGCAAAGAGGGCGGGAGTCGAGTTGAACCGCGAGATCGTGAGGTGGAACCCTTCCTATCATAACAGAAACAGAAAACTATATTTGAAGGTATGATAGTAAGTAGTGAGAAGCAAAAGAAAACCACAAAACTATAGCCAAAGGAAGTATGATAAATTACTAGTACAGTGGAGGCGAATAAACCACCAAGCACTCAATCAAAACGTTTCGTCCGACTTGGGTTTTTACACCAAACCCGGCAAAAAAAAAATAAATAGAAATTTCGGAGAGATAACCCCCATCACTAACCCCGTTGGAAACGATTTGGAATCTTGATATTAGCTAGGAAATCACTTCTGACCCATCCCCATAGAAGGCACAGATAAAATAAAAGTTCAGGATCAAGTTTGCAACCTACAGTTCGTGTCGCCTAGTGTGACAGAGACTTCAAATTTTGTAACATATGGGGCACCATAGAAAAAGCTAAGCTGAGTTATTATGCTGCAACAATAAACCTTGCACTCGGCACACGTTCTCTACATGTCATTATAATTTTTTAGAGTTCTGTAAAAGTATTATATGCTATTCACGGGTTTTATAACTTGGCATGGGATTTTGGTAGGCTCTCCTAGGCATTGATGTCGTCTGGGTGGGGGGTGGCTTTGATTGCATCACAAGAAGGCGATCGGAGTTGGTGTATGCACAATCAAGTATGACAGGACATTTCTGCACCATTCTGCTGATGTGCCAAACACGATAAAGGCTAGAATTACCCCTTTTTCTCGGATTGCTCATAGTATTTCCAGTGTTCCCCAGAAACGGGAAGCATGCTGGGTTCCGATTTGCCGATAAAGTGGAGAGGATTATTGCTTGCGCCGGATCGCGGAAACTTCCAGAATTTCCCTAACCTCTGAGCCATAAACATTTCCTATGATACTGTATGACACCATTTTTGCTTACTAAGACTTTAACGAGCCTCCCACTTGCCCCCCAACTCCCCATGTTCGATCATTGAAGGCCTTCCTTCCAACATTATCATACCTATTGCCGAATTCGAGTTCGAACACGGGTGGCAGGGCAAACTCAATCTTCGGGCAACCTTAATCAAGCGAGTGACGAAAAGTGATGGAGGCCTGATAAAAATAAAAATAAAAAAAAGTGTCCTATTTCCTTCCCCCCCTAGATTCGGAATTCGGGTGCTTTCGAACATAAGTTACCCCCCCCTATCGCCCCGATCATAAAAACTCCACACTTTACTCATACTTACCACGGTGTCCAATTCCCCCACGAATTTATATTATATTCGCATGATATTAAACCCTCGAAAGTGAAGATATCAGGCCCATCCGCATCTCGGAAGTTCCCTATTGGAAGGCAGGAGTCCTAAATCAATTGCGTTTCGGTGAAAAAAAGAAAAATTAACTCGCCGGTTATTCGGAAGTCGACCAATCACGGCATTGGATCCCCTAGCGCGTTGGTTCGATTCGAAAAAATTCCGCAGCAGCAATGGACTCGACCGCAGCGGATACTCGCCTTCGAACGCAACGTGAGTACGACAGATATCGCGAGATGCCTAAACATGTGGCTGTAACATCAACTCCGGAGAAAGACCACCTCCCCCATCGAAGTGTCCGAGAGTCTATATAAACACGGAGGAGAACTCCCCCCTTCTTGAATCCCCAGACTCACCAAGAGTTTCCGTTACAGAACGTATAAATGCCCAAACTCCTCCCTCCAGCACGAACGCTTCCACGAAATTCCGACGCTCAGGAGTCTTTCAATTGTAAACGGGTGGAGCAAGGGGAGAGGGACATTCCCGTATCACGCGCACTTTGTTGTCGTGATGACGAGAGATATGTCTTTTTTCTTTCCTTCCTCGGGCTTGTTTGTCCTTGCAAGGCTTTTAAACGTCGGGACGTCGTGGAAGCTTTTCATGCGAACTCGCAAACGTGGTCTTTATGGGGTGAGTGTGGGACGGGGGTGAGATGGGAGCAGTGATCTGGTTTGGGTAGCGTGGAAATAGGCGTTTTTTTAGTAATTTCTCGGTCGTAGTGGTGTAAAGTGATCTGCCTTCGTTTGCTCCCGTTTCTCACCTGTCCTGTAAAGACTACTTGAGTGTGCGAGCGAGGGGTGGAGTACCGTCCCCGAACGGTACTCCACCCCACGTCGCAGGGGGTTAGGGTGAGCGTGGCTGACATGAGTTGCTGAAAGTTCTGTCGGCCACGCTTACCGGTATGATACCATGCCTCCCTATGCCCGTGTTATGGGCCGGGCATGTATGAAAGGTAGACACTCATTTGTTGGAACTTAGATATATGATCCAACTGGAGGGTGGGTAATAATACATCAGCAGGGCAGAATATAGCTCTAGAACACACACGGTTATCGTCGTTAGAATAACAACAGGAAATGGGATGGCAGCGAAAAGGCTGACTGGTAAAAACAAACAACAAGACCGCTTTGTGGCGGAGGGAAGAGATGAGAGTTAGTTTTTTGGTATCATAGTGAGTTGATTCTAGCTAAGAAAACATGATTAAACAGACATATCTTCATAGCCCTAGTGTATAAAATGTTCAACCACAATTAAACACATACCCTAACCATATACTTCATCCTCTATTGCGAACCACATCAGTCTAAACCAACTCATGCACAAACCACATTAGTTAGTAAGTTAAAGAAGACTTATAAGAGCGTAGACTATTTACATCACAGACTACAATGTCGGCCTGATAAGGTGCCAAACAAGATAGGGTAGCGAGCAGTGCGAATGAGTCCACGGTTTTCATTTAGGTCAAGTACGATATCTCCGAGGGAGGCTGTAGTGCCCGCTACCTACCGGTATCGTGCTCCGCACCCCATCAAAAACCGTACTCGAGTCGTCCATCAGAAGGTTTGCCTATCATGAGTCACGGATACAGCTAATACAAGCAAAATAATCACTCTCTCACGCCCTTATAAATGCTAAGTTCACTTGTACGATACTTGATTCCCAACTCAACAATCAAGCTTTACAACACTAGAACGACTTTGAATCCCGTATAGCGGAGAGTGCCTCCTCTCAAATGGTAGCACGGCAGCCGGGAGTGGCCTTCCACTTAGAAGGGTGCATTGGGAGCCCCTGCCATCAGAACCAATAGAGAAGGCAATACTGGTATCACAGCATCACAAGCAAAAATGGGAGTCCCAAGTTGGAGATTCCGAGGAATTATTAGGAGGGGAAATGATACGAAGAGTACAAAGAAACCCTTTATTGAAGGGATCTCTAACCGCTATTAACCCGCATGCTATAATACTTTATGAGGATAGCTCGAAATCCATCCGGCGCTGTAAGTTGCATAACAAACAGAGGTATTCAAGGATATGCAGGTCACAGCTACGGTTAGAGTATCATAGAAAAAAGGAGCAAGATGTAACCAACACTCGATCCCTCATCAAGAGCAATGAATTTCGGGCATCGGAGTCAAATACGGTACCAGCATCAAAAGCAAATATTGAAGCCAACAAGCGTAGCTTCGGCGAACGGATAACCCAGGTAAATGCTTAATGACGAAGTCGAGTGATAAAGTATGAATAGCTGTCGAAGGGAAGCAAGAGTATTGGACAGATGGGTGAAAAAAGTATTGCAACGCACAAGCTTGGCATACCCGAACAAAATTCAACCCCAGGTAGTGATGAGCCCCACCTGACAGCAACGCGGTTAAGCA